ACCCGGAATCCGAAATGTAAGTGGAACAGGAGAGTGGGACACAAGAACCTGTGGTGGGTCAGCACGCAAAATCCTTCCCCCCATCCACCTAAGGATGCTGGAGCCATGGGAACACCCGTGCCTGGGGACACCTGGTGCTGTGCCCCGTGAGACAAGGGGCAAAGGAGCACTGAGGAGACCACCCACTCTGAGCCCACAGAGCCAGGCAGGGGCACCCCACAGCTCCCCACACCGGGCCTGTCAGGACTGTGTCCCTCTGATCCCAGGGGACCTTCATGGCTGTGGAGCACCCCCAGACTGACCCATCCCTGAGCAGCTTCTCTGTGGGACGTGGTTCAGTGGGGGAACATTGGCCGTGGGCTGCAGGGGATGCACAAAGAACACAGAAGCTGAACCCCACATTTTTCTGTGAGGTTGAGGTCACTGGTGGCAAGTCCTCGTGGGGAATGTCCCCAACAGCCACAGAAACAAGGGCACAGCAGATGCTGGTGGCTGAGACCCCTCGGGGGGCAGTGCTCAGGGCTCGTCCCCTCTGGCTCAGGGGGGCTCTGTGGGCACAGGGTCAGTCAGGGCAGCCCGGGGGGCCAAACCCTCCCCGATGGCTGAACAGGGCTGGCGGCCTCTTCCCCAGCTCCGCCGGGCACAGCAGAGGAGGACCCAGCATTTCCTCCGGCACGGGGAGCTGACAGACAGTTTGGGGGGCTACAAATCAGAATTGAAAAGCCGGGGCTGGACAGGCTGTCTGGGAACTCGTAACCTGAGCCCCAGGAAAGGAGGACTCAGGAAAGCGCTTTCAGCAATCATATTCATCATCTTCAGCTCGGGCTCATTAGGCTCGCGGAGCCCAGCCCCGCCACCGCCAACGCCTCCCGCACGCAGATAGAGCCGCCGGCTCAGACAAATAAATGCTTCCAGCTTCCCGGTGGATGCGGCAGGTCAGGGAGCATCTGATGCCAATTACCCGCGGTGTAGGGTTCCCGGGATCCCTGCGCTCCCGCCCGGCTCTGCCCGGCCACCGACACGGCCCCTCCCGGCCGGGGTGGCCCCACGGGTCACCCTCTGCTCGCGGTGCCAGGAGCGATGGGGCAGCCGAGGGGAGAGCTCCAGCCTTCTGCCCCAGGGGAGGACAGCGCTGTGCCCCCGCCCGGGCTCCTCCATCCCGGACCGGACTGATCCTCCAGCGCTGCAGGGCATGGCTGAAGGCCACCTCACCGTGCTGCCGTCCCCACCAGCGTGCCACTGCTGCCACTCCCTCTCGGGCTGTCCCCACACCCGTGCTCACCCTCCTCCCTGCTCCCTGGCACGGGGCACAGGGTGGAGGGATGCCCCGGCTGGTGCAGCAGGTTTGGAGCCATCCTGGCCGAGGGGCTGGCAGAGCCCCGAGCACTGGGCAGCCTTCACCAAGCAGGGGAAGAGTTCTGGGGCTGTGCATGGCCGTGTGACAGCACGTGGGTGTCCTGCTGTGGGTAGGTCCCACGGGGTCCCTGGGGCAGCTCATCCCCACCGCAGGCCTTGAGCAGAGGACAGCTGTGGGAGTTTTGTCAGATTCAGGTCCAAAATCACAACGGGACATGGAAACCCATGGACAGGTGAAGAATCACCACAACAGGCGGGGCTGGGGAGGGTCCAGGTGTCCATCCCGAGGGGTGATGGCAGCCAGCACAGCCACACAGCCTCACCAGGCACGGTGGTGAAAGGGGCACAGGTGGCTCTGCTGGCCCCGTGGCTCCTGGGGACAGCTGCTCGTTCCCTCTTCTCCAGGCCCAGGCTGGCCTGGATGTCCTTAATTGCCCAAAGGTCGGTGTCCCCGAGCCCGGGGCCACGTGTCGGAGGGGCTGCGGGCAGGAGCCTGACACGGACACGAGTCACTCGGGATCAACGCTGGGGGTCAGGAAATTGCAGTGGACACGAACCTAAATACGCTGCACGTCCCCCCAGGTAATCAGGGGCCGGGCCAGATTCCAGCTGACAGCTTAAATGCCTTAATTCCTCGGCCCCGTGGTTCGAGGGGGTCCCGTGTGCCGTGGGCTTCTCCCAAATGGTCTCTGAGCTGGAGATTTGTCTGTAATTGGAGGCGTGTTGCATTCCCCTGAAAGTAGCCAGGTCCCGCTGGAGGGGGGCTGCGGGAAGGCAGCAATTTCCCTTATGGAATTATTTACCTGATTAGAGAGTTTATTTTATCAAAATTGCTTCAGAATGGGGCTGCTCAGTGTGTCCAGCACAGGGAGCTCCCCGGTGGGGCTGGCGGCCTGGAGACAGGTAATTTGTGTGGTTAATGGGACTAATCCACCAGGCAATTACACCAATAGATTTCACGGCTGCAAAGTGCTCTGTTCCCATTAATTAAAAATCTGTTAAGAAGATTAGCACGTAAAGGTATCAAAAGAAACCCACGAGTTTCTTTCCCCACAGGCCCCCCGAAGGCGAGTGTGGGAGTGCTGGATTGCTCACATTAGCACAAAAATGATTCTTTTAAAGGTAAGGGCTTCACATCCAAAGTGACTGCTGACAGTTTACCCCGACTTCTCCACCAAGAGGTCCTTTATTTTTAATTACAGTTTTTTTAAAATTAGCCCTGATTGTTCGTGTGGAGTGTTAGCTTAAATATATTTGGAACGTGTGGTTGCCCTGTGTGTGGTAGCACAGGGTGGGGAGGGCAGCCCCTGGCCCAGCCCTGCACCCCCTGTGCCCCCACTGCTGGGCTGGTGCTCGGGATGCCCAGGAGGGGTCAGGGGTCAGGGGGCTGAGCTGAGCATCCCACTGAGATGGTCCCACCAGGGCAGGGATGGGGACAGCACCACCATTGGCACCACCACAGGCAGAGGCACCAAACCCAGCTCTGCAGCAGGCACTGGGCTGCACGGGCACCTCCCCAGTGTGCAGGGGGCACACGACTCCCACCAGGGGCTTCTGTGTGGCAGGAGACCTGTGCCACCACCCCAGGACACCCCACTGCCACCCTGCTGGCCAGCCCAGCTCTGCTCAGCCCCTCCTGCCACTCCTGGTCTTTGTCCACAGCCAGGCATGAGCAAAACAAAAGCAAATTCCCCAGCAGCTGAAGGTGCCATTTTTATGGCTGGGCTGAACGAGGAAGTATTTTTTGATCTGTTAAAAATCCTGAATATTATCTGACAGTTTATCTTGTTTCTCGAATCCGTGTCTTTGCAGCAACGCCAGCTCATTTACATGTGTATTGCGCCTGCCTCCACGGGTGCTGAGGTCAATTGAAACTCAAGAAAAGAGGAGAAATTTATGCAAAACTGTTGATTGCATTTGTATGTAATGAAATCATCCAATATTCATCTGACTATAGACTCTAATCTGAAAGGAGAAGTGAAGGACATAAGAGTCACTGGAAAGCAATAATGAGCTTCTGTAGTGATTAAAAAAGCACTTGAGCTTTCTGAAAATCCAGCCAGAAATCGTGTCTAATCAACACGGAATATAGGAGGCAGAGATTACATTGATACATTTTGCAAAGCTCACTGCTGCAAATGTATGCGCGCTGTAAACTCTGACATGCCATCCAGGGTCTGTTGGATACAAATCCGGGCGGCACAATCAGCGCCCGCCCGTCCCTGGCACAAAGCAATCTCCGTGTCTCTGCTCCGTGACTCACAAGGAGCGCAATCACATCTATTTTGAAGAGCAATGTTGTTTTTTAACTATGTCGAGAGCTCCCAGCTTCCTCGGAGTTTTTCCTTCCCTCCGCGCGTCCCCGCGGCCGCGGGGCTCGGGCCGGCTGCTGGCAGCAGCCCGGAGCATTGGAACAGCCTGGTGGAGCTGAGAGAGGCTTGGGGCAGCCTGGGAGGGGCACAGCTCTGTCCTGAGCAGGGATGGGCACAGGGATGGGCACAGGGATGTTGGGATGTGAGCCCCAGGGGACCCCCACCCCTCCAGGCCACAGCAGTGCCCACCGGGTGCGGCCCTGCCAGGCGGGCAGGTGCTGTTAGCAGAGGGGTCCCTGCAGGGCACAGGGTGGGGACAGCCCAGGGCACAGCAGGGCTCTGGCCCTCACCCTCTGCCCTGCCAAGGCCAGACCATTTGGTGGCTGATGTGGCATCACCGACACCGACCCACATTGAAGCACTCCCCAGCTGCTTTCTGGCCCAGGTCCCTTCCCCTCCTGGTTATTTGGCACAGCTGGAGCTCCTTTCCCACCCGCCAACAGCATCAGCTGCAGCTTCTTATCAGCTCTGGGTGCAATCCAGGCTGGAACCAAGTGAGAGGCTCCTGCTGGTGCCAGTGGAGGAGTGTTTGGAGTAGGCAGACTTTGTGCTGCAGCTCCTGATGTGGAGCAGCGGATGATTTGTGCTGTAAAGGGAAAGTGGGACCTCTCCAGGGCCACCCTGTGAGCCAGCCAGTGGTGAGTGCCCATCCTCTCTTTTCCTGGGTGATTCTGCTGTGGTTCTGTGTGACTGGGAGGTGCTGGGGCTGTGCTTTTTTAATGCTTGTCCTGCAGGGAGCAGGGTGGACAGTGGGGACACAGCTCCCCAGGTTCACGTCCTATCTGCCCTGCTTTGGTGGCACCAGGGCTGAGAGCAGTTTCTGTGGGCCCTGGGGCTGCTCCTGGCTGATGCAGGGCACAGGGCTGAGAGGGGGACACAGGTAAATGGGCTCCCAACCATCCAGGCAGCTCTGCCCCCAGCCCAGCACCAGGGTAGTTTACCACAGGTTTTATTCCTTTGTGTAGTGGTAAATATTTGGGAAATTCCCATGTACACGACCCCCTGTAGCTCCACTGCCTGCCTCCACCAGCTCAGTGCCAGCACCCCAAGGGCTTGGAGAATGGGGAGAGGCTGGAGAAGGCTCCATGAGCAGCAGCTCTCCACCTGCCCTGGCTCTGTGGAGCTCCCAGCCCAGCTGCTGCTGCTCCTGGGCAGGTATCAGGGAAACCCTTCCAGCCCAGGCTGCTCTGGGGATGCTGAGGCTGCAACAATGGCAAAAAAAAAAAAAAAAAAAAAAAGGCCAGTTGATAAATGTCAAAAGAAATCCAGTAATCGGCTGAAAGCAATTTCCCGAGCTGTGGAACCGCCCTGGGCTCGCCATCTTCCTTTATTCATTTATCATGGTAAGGGCTTTGGCCAAAATACACAAAGCAGAGAAATTGTTGACATGTGGGGCCCTAGCAGAGCAAATCCTTCATCCTCCTCCCCCTCCCCGTGGCACACAAACTAACTTTTGGGGAGTTGTTTATTTAAGGAGTGCAGAGCACTTGGTGCTCTTTGAACCCAAGTGCCTTGGGAGCAGGGCTGGGGCTGCCACCACCTTCCTGCTGCTGCCACTGCCAAAGTCCCTGCTGCCCTGGAAGTACCTGCTCACAGTGAGGAGCTGAGCTGTGAGCTCAGGACCTGCTCTGCACCTCCTCCAGCCCCTCAGCTGTGGTGCCAGAGACTCACAGGCTGGGGAGGCAGATGCTGCTTTTGGGAAGTTCCTGAGTTGGCTTTAGGTCTCCTCAGTCCTGGCTAAAGCAGCTGTGCTGACAGCACAGGTTTCAGTTCTCTCCCCACAGAGCCCCTGCACACCCTGCTGCCATGGCAAGGGGCAAATGCTTGCTTTGGAACACATGAGCCAAGGGAACACACCAGCCAGCACCTGGCTGTCCTGAGGCTGCTGCCCCACACCTCATTTTGACTTTATTTCCAGCAGAAATAAATGCTGAGGTTTGCAGCAGGACAGGCAGGTTCCTCTGGCTCCAGGGGGCTGAAGGTGTGGGGCAAAGATGGGGCACAAAGTGAGCAGGGCAGTCCTTCCCCTGTGCCTCCAGCAGTTTCCACTTCTCCTTCCTGATATTTTATTTTCAATCTCAGTTCTGTTCCCACCCGGATAAAGGACAGCAAGGAGAGCCCCCCCTCCCTCCAGCAGACCCCAGGGCAGGCAGTGGGAGCAGCCAAGGCACAGAGCTGCCCCTGCCCACCCTGGGGCTGCTGGCCCGGGCAGGGTGGGTGCTGGGGCTGTGGCAGCCCATTCCTGCTCCTGTGGCACTGGGATGGTGTTTATCCAAGCAGCTCCTTGGTCTTTGCTGCCAGCAGCTTGTCCATCTCTGCAGCAGCCTCATCTGCCATTTGCTGGATCTGTGGCAAGACAGTACAAAATAGAGCTCTGTGTGAGGTGATGCCACAGTTTAAAGGGAAAGGAGTGACCAAACCACCCTGTGGAACAAAGCTTCACGTGCCAGCAGAGCCCCAGTGCTGCTGGGGCAATAACTGGCTCTTCCTGGGGATGGGATCCCACCAGCCCTCAGGGTGTGGGAGCAGGGACTGGTGTAAGACTCTGAAAAGAGAGGCCCACACAAACTCCTGGCTTGGTCAGGTTTAACAGAGACCCCCAGGGCAGAGGCAGAGCTGCTGGTGCTGGCAGCAGGGAAGAGGGGCTGCTACCTGTGCTGCACCGCAGGAAATGTCAGTGCCAGGAATTCACACATCACCTAACAATCTGTTCAGCTCTTGTAAAAAGAAATAAAGTGGTGATTGCTCAAGCCCTGCCCGGGGATCAGCTCTCTTGGTAACAGGAGATGGACGTGGCCAGTGTGCAAAAGGGATGCAAACAGGCAGGTAAAGTCTGGAGCACAGTGTGCCATGCCCTGGATCCATGGGATCAAGATCTGCTTGTCTGCAAGGTCTGACAGTGACCTTTGCTCATAATGGAAAATCTGGGTACAAGAAAAGAATTCCACTGGAGACGTTGCCTCCACCAGGGCAGAACACATCTGTGTGCTCTGGGAGAGAGGCTTCCCAGCAGGGTTTGGTTACAATGGCATGGCCATTTTTCCTGCTTGCACAAACGCTCTGTATATCGATGTTTATTTTTGTGAGCACACACAGAACTGTCCCACAGCATTTGCAATGTATCTAACTTTAGCTGCTAATAAACAAACAGCTAAGAAGTAATGGCCTGCCTTCAGAGGCATCAATTCAGCAGAACACTTAGGCTTGAGCCTGAGTTTATGCCCAAGCAATTGACTTTAGTGACATCTGCTCTTAGGGAATTAGGCATGTGCTTAAGTATTTTCCTGAACTGGAGCCAAAAACTCAGAACAGAGATAATCTTGCAAGCTTTTCATTAACAGCAACTGGAGCAATGCTCATTAACACATCTGCAGTGGCCAGGCATGGCATGAGTGGTGCTACAGCCGTGGTCATGGATTGTTTCACTCCCCAAATTCTGCTGGTTGGTGCAACAATCCCTCACAGTATGAAAGCTTTTGGGGAATTCTTTTTCCCTGTGTCAACTTACAATGGCTCATATCCTAAATCTGGCTTTGAGACTGAAGCCCCAAATCTCACAAAGAAAAAGCAGATACAAATGTCATTGCCAGCTCCAGAAATCCAGCCCAGGGCTGTCCATTGCTCTGCTGGGTTCTCAGTGCTGAGGATTTGTCAGCAAGGACAAACCACTGAGCTGTGGGACACCAAAATATGGCAGAAGGAAAGAAAAATTACCTGCTTTTCTAGCAGCCGGATGGTATCTTCTGACACTTTGCTCTTGGACTTCTTTATTTGGGTGATGCTTTTGCTCCTCACCTTTCTCAGGGCCTCTTTGGACTTGTTGGTGGACTGCTTGGCCAGCTTGGCCAGGCTCTCCCTGTGCTCCCTCGTGACCCTGGGAGGGAGAGGAGAGGAAAAACACCGAAAGGAAAAGCAGTGTCATGTGTAGCACAGCCAGATTTATTTTCTGTGAAGGACTCTGGGTAAATGAGTGCTCCTCTCCAACTGCTGCTGCCCTGCTCAGGGACCACAAAAGCTGCTGGTTTTAGCTGGAGCTGGCTCTGTGTGGAGACACTGCCTCAGGGCAGAGGGACTGAACAGCTCAGGACACGTTTTTATTCTGCTTTGGTCCACCTGAGAAAAGCTGCCAGCTCTGCACAGCATTCCAAAGAAGCAGCCTTGAACCTAGAATGGAAAATTTCCAGCTCAGCCCTAAGCTGGGGATCTTGGACTGAATCTTGCTTTTTAGTTCTTGCTGCAGTGCCTGAAAGTCATCTTGAAATGTTCAGACTTTCCTTACTTCCTGCTGCCAAAGCATGTGTGGGAAAGAGGAAAAATCCAGCTCCAGACTTGAAAGATCAAGTGAAAAGTGTCATCCTAAAAAGCACAAGACTGCAGAGCCAGGAGGAAATGTCTGCTCCTGAAACTCTGATCTGCCTCCCTGCAGCTGAAGAGCCTGAATTATGTACCTGGAAGCTAATGAGCTTACCTTCCACTCAATCTTATCCCAGCTCACCAGGACCAGGATTTCCCACCAGGATGATATGAACACCTGGGTTGACAAGAGGATGCTGCTGGACATGGTAAGCCACAGGTAACTCAGACCAGGAGAAGTTCTGGTGAACCCTCCCCCTGATGTGGGGCCAGTTACTGCTGTGGTGTCACGAAAAAATGTTCAGCTTTCTATCCCAAACTGAAAACTGGTGATCAGGGGGTCTGGCCCTCAAAAAGGCTCAGGAATGGCTGATGAGTCCCCTCAGCTCATGCTCCAGCATCTACAGCTGACCACTGTCAATTGCTAGTGCTTAGCATTAATATTTTAATTATTTTCCCAGCTCTTGGAGTTTCCAGCCTGCCTGGAGAAGGAAAATCCCTGGTGCACTCCCTGAGACTCACGAGCAGGAGAATGCGTGGGGGTGATACTGCAAAATAAACATTTCACAGGAGTATTTAGAAATTGGCTGCAGCAGCCTGGGTCACTAAAACCCTGGGGCCAGGACTCTTTCCACAGAGAGCTCAGGAAATGTGGGGTGAGTGCCTGGGCTCTGCCCCTCGGTGGGTGTGGGTTATGGGGGCTCTGGGGGCACAGCTGGACCCACAGCCAGGTTTCTGGCAGCCATCCCCATTGCACAGTGCCAGAGGGATGAGGTTTCCCAGAAGCAGTTGGTATTTACAGGAATTTGGGATGGCCAGGAAAGCTGGCAGACCCAGAGAGCCAACCCAGCCCGGGCACCCCAGCCTGTCCCCTCCCTGTGGGGGGAGGTGGCCAGGGAATGTCACATGGAATCTCAGAAAACCCTGAGCTGGAAGAGCCCAGCTCCTGGCCCTGCACAGCCTTCCAAATCCCACCCAGTTCCTGAGAGAGCTGTCCAAGCACTCCTGGAGCTCTGGGGCTGTGCCCATTCCCTGGGGAGCCTGGGCACCCTCTGCGGGAAGAGCCTTGCCCTGAGCTCCAGCCTAACCCAGCACAGGTGGCAGGAGGCTTCTGGTCAGCACAGGCTGGCCAGGAGGGAGCAGGGATCCCTGTGGATCCCCTGCACCCCAACATTGGTGCTCTGGAGCTTCTCACATCCCACCTCCCCAGGCAGAGCCCTGGCACACCCAGAGCCCCCAGTGCCAGCTCACAGGCACAGCTCTGCCTCAGGGCACCTCAGGCAGCTTTTTGGGGTGAAGCAGGGGTCAGTGCTGGCTGCTCAGCCTGCAGGAGGGAGCTGGGAGCCTCTGCCATCCCTGCTGGCAGGGAGGGAGCTGGGAGTCTCTGCCATCCCCAGCCGGGGGCTGCGGGAGCTCCGGGCTGTGCCCAGGGTATTGCTCGCCTGCCCGGGGCTGCCGAGCCTTGAAGGAAATGTTTTTGTTTATGCAGCACTGCCAGATTTCCTCTGCTTCTTGGCACGGGGTCACAGCTTTCATGCCTCCTTGTCTGTCTTTATTAACACCAATTTCTTTTTATCACCGCGCAGCGCCGGGGAGTTTCTCAGCGGGTTTTATGTTCCAGCCAGACTGTGTGTAAATTCTCAGCAATGCTACCAATAATGCCAGAAACAGACACTTTTCCAAGCAGATGCTGTTTCTGGTTAAGGAATCCATCAACACGAGCCAGGCCCCAGGTTTCTAAGGACAGTTGTTTTAATCCTGCCCCCAGATCTGGGACTTTTAAGCTGTTCTTAGGTATGTTTTCTTTTCTGTCTAGTAACCATTGTCCCTACCCCCTCCTAAAGCCAAAACAAAGTGTGAAGTGAACTCGGGGAAAGGGGGTCAGATGGGGAATGAGGACAAGCTCCCACCCAGCTGCCCTCCCCTGCAGCCCGTGGAGCAGCAGGGTCAGTCCTGCCATTCCCCCAGGGCCAGCCTTGTCCTGCCTGGGGACTGACAGACTGACACGGCAGGGGGGTCACAGCTTTTTTTTTAATGAGGAATATCTTCTTTTCTGCCTCCCCCAGCACTGCAGGCCTCGAGGTCCCAGCCCAGAGCAGACCCTCAGAGAGGACAGCCCAGCTCAGCTCAACACAAGACATTTCTCTGGGTAGAGGGGATTCCTGTGCCTCCAACACCAGGAATTTCATGTGAATCAGTTAAAGGAAAGCAGGCTAAACTAAACACTCTGCATTCATAACTGCAGATAAACATGGGCTGCAACATTTATTGCTCAATAAAAGGCAGGCAAGCTCCTGATGATGAGCAGGAGCAGCTCAGAACAGCTTTGGGGTGTTTCCAAGTGAAATCTTTTGGTCCTTTCTCCCCATAGTAGGTATCTTTGCTTATTTCTTAAAGGGCAAAGGGAAAAAAAGGCTCACAATGAGTCATTAAACTTTCAAATGAGTCATCTGGCTTTCAGTAAAGCATGTGTAAAAATATTACTGATTTACAAACAATATCCAGTGTAACACAATAGGTCCAAAAAAGATGAATCTAAAAATGAGGCAATACCATAAAAGACACAAGGTCAGGTCAAATTTGGCCAAGAGATCAACCAATACAAATGTTCCCATGGATGGTTTTCTTTCTTTTTTTTTCCTTTTTTTTATTTTTGTAATTTTTATTTTTAAACCCTCAGAGGCTACTTTTTATACAAATAAATATTGCCTGTGCAGTGCTAGCCACACAAACAGGAGAATGCCTTGGGGAGCAGAGGGATCCTGGCAGGCAGCAGAAGTAAACACCAACCACACGAGTGTATTTTTTCTGTTAAAACTGCATTGCAAAAACTAAACTGATAGAATAAATACTGAAAAAGCAAACTCCATTTTTTAATGCTCTGCTGAAACACTCTGGAGCACAGCTGGACCTGCACAAGGCAAAATATGGCACATGTGTGTGCAGCTGATAGGTCAGACTGAGGGGTGGTTTTAATGACAGGTAAGGACAATTTGGATTTGGTTTCATTTTTACTGTGCCTCCCTTCCTGAAAGAACCAAAGTCTGCAGAACCAATATTAACATTGTCTTTTCATTTCTGATTTGTTGCTTATTTTGCACACCTGACGTAATTCTGCCATTTCACTGCATCTCTGTCATATATTCTTTCATGAACTGCTGGAAATAATGCAAAACTTCAAAAATATTTTAAAAGTAAATGAGGAATAGAATTATCTTTGCCCTGCATTTTTCATTAGGGGGGTTTAAAAGGCTGGAAGTGTTTGTCTTCCTGGTGAGTGGCTGAAAGTGCCACAGCCCCAGACATGGAGCTAGAGAGCAGAGGGGACTGGGGTGCCATGAGGGCAGACCCACAGCTCCCCAAATCCTTAACTCGGGACTTCCCCAGCAGCCAGGAAGGGACCCAGAGCTGCAAGCCTGACACAGGAGGGGAACTCGGGAAGAGAAGCCCTGTTTTTGCTCTGCAGCACCACAGAAGACAGTGACAGACCGCACACATTTGTTTAAAAACACAGGATTTTGTTAAAGCTCGGGATTTGCAGTTTTGGAGTTTCCTCCCCTGCAATTGGTATTCAAGGATGACCCAAGTGCCCATTAACAATCAAACCACTGTGCAGCAACCCGGGAGCCTCAGCAATTACGAAGATAATGGTGCCCTCCTCCTCCTCTGCCTCCTCTCCTGAGGAATGGGGGAAGGGCAGGGAGCACGGGGAAGGAAAATCAGCAAATAGAATGATAATGTCATTGCCTCTCACCAACAGCAACGGAAAGCTGCAATTAGACTGATCAAAATGCTGGGTAAAATTCCACAGAATGTTTAAAGGAGGTTTACAGCACAAGAAATACCTGGTTCATCTTTACCAAGAAGTCACCTGCTTGTGCAAGGGGTTTGTGCCTGCCCTGTGTGGGAGCTGTTTGTCTGTACCATGGTTGAAACCATGCCCAGCCACACCTGCCCAGGTCTTCAGATGCTCCATAAGCTCTGAGCACCCACAGGAGCTGCTGAATTTTCCTTGTGCCACCCAGGCCTGGGCCAGGCTCTGTGTGTGGAGCTGCTGGGAGATTTCTCATTTCATCTGAGTGGAGCCCCATTCCCGGGTCACTTCTCCTTATCCAAACTGAAGCATGGATGCAGCAGCACCTCCTGCCTTGTTCAAGGTCTGTGTTGGGTGAGGGAAGTGATGCTCAGCCCTTGCCCAGGGATAACCTGTTTTTCCAGCCCCACACCCATTTTTCCATACCAGTTACACACTGTGTATTACACAAAAGAGTGAGCAGATTTTTTGCCAAAGCTATAAATTTCCTTCCTCTCACTTTCATCAGTTCCTTTTAGTGCTCTCTGCAGCAAGGTGCTACTCTCCCCTAACATCACTGGTTCAACACTGCTGTTCTGTGCTGGTGTAATTGCAGGAATTTAGAGCAGGGCAGCAAAGAATCAGCCCCTGGATTTAAGCAATACAGTTTCAAAAGCTTTTGGCTCTCTCTTTCAAAGTGCTGCAGCCAGCCAGGGCCAAGCTTCTTCTGCAGAGGGAAGATGAAAAATAAGATCAATCATCAGATGCGATGCCAAGCTGTGGTGGCAGAGCTCAGACATTCCCAAGAGGTTTCACAAGACCCTCCTGAGGGGTCAGATTTTTTCCTGAACCTGAGCTACAGCTCTTTGGAAAGCAGCTGCATGGGGACAGGCAGCAGTCAGGCACGTTCACCCTCGGAAGGGCACTCCCTGCAGGGCTCTGAGCTGTCCTGCACGATGAAGGGCACGGGTACTCACTTGGGCACTGGCACCCGGATCACTGCCCCGTCCACCTCTGGGTTCAGGTTCATGCCACTCTCCCTTATGGCCTTGGCAGCTGCAGCTGTGCTCTGCAGAACAGATCAAAAGGTAAAGGGAATTAGGAAATAATCATTCCCATATGCCAGAGCTCTGTCAATAGCTGGCAATCCATCTCCATGGAACATGGAAACATTTACTTGTGTTACCAGTGAGATCAGGAAGTTACATTGGTGCAGAGAGCTTTGATCAAACCGAATGGGAAACTCGGATTGGGGTAGGGGGGCAGGCAGGGAGGAGAGGGGAAGGGAAGCAACAACAAAAGAAAACTCTTTGGCTTCTTTGAAACTGTTTGGATGGTTTGAGGCAACGCAGAGTGAAACCGCAATAAATTCCCAAGGCAGGGCCTGACTGTGGCAAAGGAGATGAAAGATTCTGAGCATTTAAAAATTCCAGTTGAGCGTTTCTCCCTAGAAATCACCCAGTGCCAGTTCTGAAACCCTAATGAACTTAACCACTTCAGCACCACAAGCTGACCATGGGACAGAAGGGCAGTAGCAGAAGGCTGAGAACCAGTGCTCATGCCCAGCTCTGTTATTTTACAGATTATTACTGAGGATTAATTTCTCCAAACTCCCCCACCGCTGGCTGGCACTCTGCTGTGTTTGGAAGGTGGGGTGGCAGGTTTGCTTGGTGACTGCAAGGTGATTCCAAGGCTCCAGCCCCATCACAAGGTGTGAGTGCACCTCTACAAGTGCCAGGCTTTGGGGTTAAAGCAGAGTTTGGCCAAGAACACCCACAGGGCTCTGCCAGGTCACTTCATCCTTGACTCTGACAAGCCCCAGGAGTTTTTTCCTGTGGCACTCATTTCCTACCAGGCATGATGCTATTTCTGATACTCTTTGCCATCATTAACTTTAGCTCCAGGCTGCTGCAGTATTTATGTAGCTCAGACTGTATTTATAAAGCTCAGCTTTTGCCAACTGAGGCACAAACTAAAGCTCTGCACATTTGTTCAGGTCCCTCATGTGTGACATCACTGAATGAAATGAATGCTCTGCTGGTGTTCTGCAGGAGACAACTGCTGTCCCCTGAAACTACAAGGGCAGAGAAAATGCAACCAAAATGATCTCAGCACATTAGGAATGTCAGTGTGTTATTCCATGGACAGCGCCTGCTCTGCAGGAAAGAAATGCTCAGTGAGAACTGTGTTGTTTAACATAGATATTGGAGGAGATAGAAGAAGAGGAAAGTAATGAGAGAAGGAAAATATTGCAATATTGCCTCCATCCTCTTGTAGCCTGTGAAAAAAATAACTGTATTTAAAAACCCACTGTTGTTTGGTTTTACAACTCTTGGGAAGACTTTGGCTCTGCAAGTCCTCTTCTATGATTGTTTTATTTCTCAGACTCTTCAGGCAACTTTATTTGCTTCTCAGTGTCATGAACTACTGACTGTATGCTGTAAATAATGACATCAAGTGATCGTGTCTCTAATGGTTTCAGTCCAATCTATCACAAAACAGGTGGGTATAAAGCAACTGTACTGAGAGAAATGTTCAAGTGCTCCTTTAGCATAGAAAGCAAATGTGGGCAGTGCTATCTAGAGGATATTTGATTTCTCACGAGCCCATTTCTCAGCCTGGACATGGATAAGCCATGGAGGGACTTCCCTGGCCCTCTCAGCACCGACACGCGCGGGACCTCGCTGATGAGGGGCCTCCATTCCTCAGGGCCTTTACACACTCTGAGAAACACTCAGGCATCAAGAGCCTTGCACTGACCTCCTCTGAGACCTTGCTGACTTAATTAATTGGGGAAAGCCTTTGCAAAATAAATAGAGATAAGCCCTGGCACAGCTCCAGCCCTGGAGCAGGAGGAGTTGTTAACCTTGTGCTCTGGGACCTGCTGCAGGCACCACCAGTGCTTGGGCTGAGCTCAGCTGGGATTTGGATTTGCTGCCTCGCTCAGGGGCAGGCCTAAGGCTCCTGCAGAAAATCAAAAGAACCTGTCTCTCACAGAAGATAAATCAGAGACTCTAATTTGGGCTCTGACCTGGAGGTGCCAAGCCCAGCAGTGCCCAAGTCGAGCTCTGTGACAGCACTCAGCAAGAGCCAGCTCAGCCCCACCTGGGAAGCTGTGCAGAAGGTCACAGGCTCCATCACAGCTTCTCTCATGAGCTCTCAGGGGTATCAGCAGCCCTGGTAAGACATAAGCAAGTTTCAGAGGTGTCTGATGAAGTCCCCAGCACAAATTCCAGCTACACGTCTGGTTCTGTGCATGGCCACGTCTTGACAAGGAACTGAAACAAATACAAGAGGGCTGACAGAGCCCTGCAGCCATGTGTGCAGCTCAGGTAGTGTGTGTGCTCAGACTTCTCACAAATGCATGGGAAATGGGGAGGGCTGGAAGGGCACAGTGAATCCAGGCATCTGGTCCATGGTGCTTTGTGTTCTTTTGCAGATCCAACTGAGGGAAAGAGCCTGCAAAGCAAAGCCCTGGATACAACCCTGAGGGCAACCACAGCACTCAGTAACTCTGCTCTGACCCTGTGCTGCTGCAGGTGAGCTGCTCTGGGAGCCACGTGGGGCTGGGGAGCTGCTGTCAGCAGCAAAATGCCCCTTCTGCTCTGTGTCAGCTCCAGTGACACAGCCCAGCCCCAGCTGCAGCCCTGCCACGTTTGACTGATTTTGTCTAAATGCTCCTTTGCTCAGCATCAACCTGTTTGTTCCCGTGGCAATTATCTCCCCTGCCAGCGTGTCCTCACCTCTGGAAAACTGGTCATGTTCACTATCATGAGCTGCGGTGACTTCTGTGAGATCTGCCCCAGCTGGTTCAGCGGAAACTTCCCATCTTTTGTCACCACAGTTATGTGATCCAGGGCCCCTCGAAAGAACCAGACACAGGGAGCTTCAGTGAGACAAAAACTGTGCAGGGGTGCTGAAGAAAAACCTGTCCACTCTGCCCCCTCTCCCTCCTGCCATGCAAAATGCAGAGGTTACAAAGGAAAAAACGGTGTTTATTCAGACTTCAGGTGCTGTTTGTGTTCACAAGTTAAACATTTCAAAGCTGCTCTAAAGCACAAAAACATGAAAACAAAACTCTTGTTTGTTTTTGCTGCTAGAATAGGAAAACTAAGCAGGATTGTTAAGAATTGAAGGGAAATGGTTATTTTTTTTTTTAATTCTTACAACTTAAAGAAAATGTTGCTATAAAAATCAAGACAAATATTGTCTTTAACTTAGCAGTGCTATCTAAAACCCCTCTATTTTTTCCAGGCCCCCAGAGGGGTGCTGTACACTGCCTAATTTAAAGTATTCCATTTCTCCCTGAGCTACTCTTAATCTGCTCTCTATTTTCTGCTGCAAAATGTTAACAGGCCAAAAGGCACATGGGACAGGAGGTACTTTATCAGTGCAATTAAAAAAATACCTATGGTTAAAATAAATAGTTAAGAGACCAAGCTACACTTCCCAGCTCCATTAAAGACAGAAGTGCCCCTGCCAGAGCTGGGGTGGTGAATGATTCCAATTTGGTCATTGTTTAATGTTAAATTTTATCCCTGAAATTTGATACGCTTACAAATGTTCGGAGTGTTACAGAAACTGCAGCTTAGGCAAACATTCACATTTCTCCCTAAAACACAGAATGCACGAAGGAGGCTTGTACAGGTTACTGCCCACAAAGATGCACAGCAGAAAAAGGTTTGTATATGCCAGACACCAGCCCAATGGCAATTTCCAAAAGGATCATTTAATGGCAATTGGATTTTTCCTGCCCTACTGCACCATTAGCTGACAACCTGCTTCTTCATCACATCTGCAAACAGTTCAGTTAGACACTTTTGACATCTCCCACTTAAAAAAGCTATTTCCAGGAAGCTATTAACAAAAATGGATCCTTCCTGGTCAAGCTATATTATATTATATTATATTATATTATTATATTATATATAAAAAAGTATACTTCCAATACTTATAAGCACTGCAAGAGCGGCTGCAGAGCCGAGCAGAAAGCTGCCGTTTTTACCTCTTTTGGTAGCCAGCTGCCTGCCCAGCAGCCCCCGCGGGAGCGGGGCCGGGCGGGGGCCCGCGGGCAGTGCCCCGGGCCCGGCGGGGCAGCGGCGGAGCAGCAGCGCCGGGAGCGGCCGGAGGCAGCGCAGCGCCAGAGCCATGCTGTGCCCACCTGCGGGAGAGAACGGCAGCCGGGCTGAGCTTCCGCCGGGCTTTACCGGGCAGCTCCGTCATGGGGCAGCGGCTTGGGGCTCCGCCGTGCCCACGGGACATGCCGGGACAGGGCTCGGTGGCTGCCGGTACCGGCTGCGAGAACCGGCAGCCCCGCATTCACGGGGCTCGCTCCCGCTGCGCCGTGCGGGGCTCCGGGCGCTCCCCGCGGAGCTGCGGGAGCGCGCACGGGGCTCGGGCCCCGCGGAGCCGGCGGCGCGGGCGGCGGGGAGCTGCAGCTGGCGGCCACCGGGGTCAGCGACCCCGACCCCTGCCCCTGCTCCCCGGTCCCGGTCCCCATTCCCATCCCGATCCCGGTCTCCACGCGGCCCGCGGCGAGCGGCGCACCCGCGGGGCCATGGAGCCGGGCCGGCAGGCGCTGCCGCTGGAGAACGCCTCCATCCTGTCCGAGGGCGCGCTGCAGGACGGGCACCGCCTGTGGATCGGCAACCTGGACCCCAAGATCACCGAGTGAGTGAGCGCCGAGCGGCGCCGCCCCCGCCGCGGCACCGCCCCGGACGGGGCCTTGTTCCCGCAGCGGCGCCGGGCCCTGCCCGGCCTCACCCGAGCACTGCCCGGCGGCTCGGGCCGGGGCAGCACTCCCAGCTCCTGCCTGTGCCCCGGGGCCCCTTGCCCGCTGCAGAGGTTGTAAAAGCTCAGATTTGCGCTCTGAGGAGCAGCCCTGCCTGCCGGGCTGCTGCGGGCACGGATCGCTGCGGCGTGGTGTGTCTGTGTGTGCGGTGTGCGTGTCTGTGTGTGCCGTGTCCGTGTCTGTGTGTGTGGTGTCTGTGTGTGCGGTGTGCGTGTCTGTGTGTCTGTGTGTGCGGTGTCCTTGTCTCTGTGTGTGCCGTGTCTGTGTGTGCCGTGTCTGTCCGTGTCTGTGTGTGTGCTGTCCCTGTCTGTGTGTGCAGTGTCTGTGTGTGCAGTGTCTGTGTGTGCAGTGTCTGTGTGTCTGTGTGTGCCATGTCTGTCCCTGTCTGTGTGTGCAGTGTCTGTCCCTGTCTGTGTGTACTGTCACTGTCTGTGTGTGGTGTCTGTCCCTGTCTGTGTCTGTGTGTACCGTGTCCTCCCCCGAGCGAGGCTGCACACTGCACCCCCTGAAGCTGAAAGCATCCCTGCTCTCCAAACCGGGGAAATGTGGAATGTCAGGCTGGAGCCTTTCAGGGTGACGGTGCTACAAGCAGTGGTAAAGCAAGGCACAGCCCTGGAAGCTGCACCCAGGGTGGCTGGGGTCTGTGGGGAAATGCAGGTGGGCAGAGCAGAGCTGTCAAACAGCAGCTCTGCTTTGGGGTTTTGCTGGGTGAGTTCAGCAGAGCAGAGTGGCTGCAGCAGTGGGGAGGTGGGAGTGCTGGGACTGGCTGCTGTGGGGGCTAATGCACAAATCAAACGTGTGTGTGAGCATTTCATGTTTTCTCCAGGCTGTGGATAATTATCCCCTGCACAAGCATAACATTTGAACAGCTAAATTGTCAAGGGAATATGATGTGCTGTCCAATATTTGGATAAGGTGCTGTGAAACCACTAGGTTGTATAGAAAGGAAAGCAAACCAAAACAATTTGGGCTTTACACACTCACAACAAACAAGCATTTCTGATTAACTATTGTGTATGCCTGTCGTGGAATACTTTTTCTTCCTGGTTCTTTTTGTGTGTGTGCAGGTGCTGGGGTTTGTTCTGAGTGTGGTTCATCTGAGCAGAGCAGCTCCCTAATAGCCTCTAAATGGGATCATTAATGCTCTGTGATTTCAGCCATTCAGCTTTGGAGGTTTCTGCGTTCATTGCCTCTTCTGTCCCTGTGGTTTGTCCACATTCACTGACCACGTGAAATTCAATATTGGAATTCTTGAGTGTTGTTTGCTGGGTGCTCAGGGGTTCAGGAGCTGGCTGAGGGTGAGGGTGGGAGTGCATTGATCCCTCACTGCCCAGGGGGATCCTCAGTGCTGCTAAAGACCCTTTCACAGCAGGTTGTTCCTTATGGTCTTGGCCAGATAACTAATAGGTTTATTTGGCAAAATTTACTGTTTTCATCACTTGGATGAAGTGAGTTTGGTGGTTTCTCAAACCTGGAGTGCTTCCATGCTCCTAAATGTTTAAAGTTTGCACAGTGATGAGTGACAGTGCTTGCTGCTTATTTCAGGCTTTATAATTCTGTGTCTTGCTTTCTGTTTTGCTTTAAAATGGCTCTTCTCTCCTGCAAATGATGCTGTGTCTCCATTTCTTTGGGAATAAAAGAAGAGGAAGCTCCTTTCAGCACATTGTCAGTGTAAAGAAAGTGTGTGGTCAGTAAATTTCTATAAATCATCTTGACCCTTATTCTCTCATGCTAAGGGCTTACATCTCTAGTTCTAGTTGTTCCTCTGAATTATTCCTGTTGAGGGTACTACTGACATGACTACATCAAACTCCTGAAAATGAAATGTTTCTGCATTTGCTGCTTTTATCTGTTTTTTTAAAGAGCTGCCTTTGTAATTTCTACGTTGGATTTGTTTAAGGCAGAGTAAGGTTGATTGAGTTGTTGGCAGAGTTAATAAGTGGTTGTGACACTCTCGAGCAGAAATGAGCTCAGAAAGTCTTGAATCAATCCAAGACTTCCATTTAAAGAGCAAACTAGAGCTGCAGTCAGGTGCTGGGGAGTTAATAGGTAATGTACACACTGGAGCACAAGCTGCAGGAGCAGCATTTATAAATGTAGGGCTGCCCACAATTACAGCCTGGGAGCTGATGCTCTGGGGAGGCTGTTGCACACACCGAGTGACTGTGCCTCAGCTGGGGGTGCTGACATGCCCTGGGCACTGGGTTTTGGTGGCTCTTCAGCTGGGCACTTCTTCAGCACTCCTCCCTGCTGGCAGTGGTTGTGGGTGACTTCTTTTGGCCAGCACCCTTGAAGCAAGGTCTGCCTGTGGGAGAGGTGCTCTTGAGTCTCCTGAGCGTGTTCCCAGCAGCTGGAAGCAGGACAGCTGGCACCAGGGGCTTGTGACACAGCATGGTGTCTCCAGGCACTCTGGGAGCCGTGAGATCCCTGCCATGGTGTCTGCATGGGGACAGCAGCAGGTGGTTCCTCGTGCTTTGGTGTCCCCAAACCTGCACAGCAGGGCAGGGCACGTGTGGTCTCATCATCACCCCATGGGGCAAAGCCACATGGTTCAGTTCTGTCTCCATGTGGCAGGTGGGCTAAAATTGCCTCCTCTGCCCATTCCTGCTCCTAAAGCTGCCTGAGACTTCCCAGCTTTTTGGCCAGGCAGGGATCTCATTTTCATCTCTCTGGTTCACATGGTCTGGTTTCCCGTAGCCTTTCAATGCCCATTCATTATCCAGGGGTACTGAGGAGCGGGTGTTGAACTTCCTCAGCTGCCGTGCTGCTTGTGGAGGATCCCATCTCCACGAGTCTCACCTAGAAAACAATGTGTGCACAAGCTGTTGTCACAGCCCCCCGCTGGCAGCTCCCAGTGGGGCAGAATTCCTCGCAATAATAGATTTCGCATGTGGCCCGCTCCCCGCGCGGGGTCCTTGGGACAGCATTGTTCAGAGGAAGCCTTGCCTGCGTCTGAATAGCGCTCGGGGTGCCAGGAGGAAGAGAGGAGGAAAAGGAAACGGGGGAGCTGCAGGTTTGTCTCGCATCCACATCAGATGACAGGAAGTGGGGATGGAGGTTGGCCGCGGATCCGCGGAGGGGCCGCGGCCGTGCCAACGCTTCCAACCCTGGGTGACACACGTTGTTGCCATAGTAAAGCTTTTTACATCTTCTCACCTTGGTTTTTTTTTTATTAAGGCTTCAGGTTTTCCATGACAGTCTGCTTCTTCGGTACCTCTTGGCCTGAAGAGCTACTTGTCAAGTTACTGTTAATGCCCTCAGTATTTTAACAGTAGCAGACCATAATCACAGCCTAAAACATTGGTTATACAGGATTTCTGAGCTGCTCCACGAGAGGAGGTGACCTGCAGTTGTGAAATTGCAGGCACGGTTGGAAAAAGGGTTCTAAACAAAATAGATGACATAAGTTACTTCTAGACTGTTGATGAAAATTGTTTTAAAGGAGCGACTATCACCTCACTGCTAAGAAGGTATTATTTGAATGCAGATGCTCTCAGGGAAAAAAAAACAAAACACCCCCAAAAAGTTCCTTTTGGCAGAGCAGCTGCAGGGTTCTTTAGTGCAGAACTCGGGGAGGATCCTCCCTGCCCTTCCCCTGCCTCTGTAATGGCCAGAAAGGGAACAGCATCCTGGTGTAGGGACTCTATTTCCATACTGCTGGAATTCCGAGGACTCTTTGGAGCAGTGTGTTTACAGAAACAAACTGAGGTGCATTTACATATCGTGGAGGCTCTGGAAGTCCAACATGTGGAGTTTTTTATGCATCACGTCTCCAAAGTTAGTGTTTTCACTTGCACATCTGTGTCTGCTTTTTGGAAGTGTGAGGTGGTGAAATTTGGCTACTGTGTAATCAGCTCCTTTTCTTCACCCTGCTCTTTCCAGTTCCCCTTGCTTTCAGGGCAGTTTGAGGGCTCACAGGTATTGCAAAGGATGTAGGAAGCCTTCCATAATCAATGACAATGTGTGTGTTCCCCTGGGGGTAACTTGGCCCTGCTGCACTGCTCGTCTGTACACACGCTGCACCTTCACCTCTTTAAAAGTGCACATCCTGAATGTCCACTGTGACCCATCCTGTGGGATGACTCACATTCCTGGAACTTTCTTGCCTGGCTTCTGAAGCTTAACAAAGGGCTAAGGCTCTTTTCAGACATCCTATCAGGCTTTATTAGGAAAAATGTTGTCTGCCCTTCCCATCTGGACAGTGCCTGGTGCACTTGGCTGCCTTGGGCCACTGCTGACCATTCATGTCTGGACATGGGAGGTTTCCTCTGGTGCCTGGTGTTATCCTGGCAGGCTCTCTGAGCACTGAGTGTTACCTTCAACACTGAAAATTGGGGTTGGACTCTGTGGTTTGCTAACAAACACTATACAGCTGCTTGGGAGATGAGTCCTGACTAAGACACCCTTATTAAACACTTAAATAATTCTTAAATGTCAGGGATGGGGTCAGGCAGTGAAGGAGCAATGAGTGTCACTTTTCTCCTGGGTCAGCCAGTGCTGTTAAACACTTCAATCCCAGGGAACCAAAAAAAGCTGCAAAGAACTTTCAGGATTAGATGTGGCCTGTAGAGCATATGTGCTCCTTGTTTTAAGTTGCTCAGTGCACCAGATACTAAGCAGACAGATTTACTCTGGCTTTTCCCAGTTTTATTAGAAACAGCACACTCCCCACTGGATGGCAGGAAGATAATTGGCTGAAAAAGTGTCTGACTTCCATGAACATGTCACTGGAAAGCTGTCTGAGCCAGAAGCACTGGCAGATTTAGGCTGGATGGTACTGAGGGCTGGCTGGTGCCTTTTTTGTTGAGGCCTGCTGGCAATTCCTGGCTGCAGGTTGTTCTGTTTATTCTGTCTTCCTGCATCCCCATCTTTTCCAGGCAAGTGTCTGTGTGCCCTGGGGTGTCCTTGCCAGAGCACTGGCACGGTTGGCACGGGGCAGGGGTGGGTTTGTGCTGGGAGAGGGAGGGCAGCAGGAGGAGCAGGGTCCTGGGGGATGCAGGTGCTGTGGGCTCAGAGTGCTCGAGCTGGGACAGGAGTGCAGGGAAGGGAGCTCCAGGTGCTCACATCAGGGCTAGGAGGGTTATGCTTAAAAGCAGGAGTGATTTAGTGAGGCAGGAGGCAAAGCCCTCCCAAACCCCTTGGGAGTCATTGCATAATTGTCCAAAAGGCAGCTATTAATAGATCTCTGTGCCCTTCAGCTGGCACTGCTGGGAGGGAGCTTTGTGCCTTGGGGCTTTGGAAAGTCACTGATGCTGCTCAGAGCTGTGGATGCTGAAGGGGCACTGCACAGGGCACCCACCTCTGCAGGGATTTGGGAATGTGTGTGTGACACAGCTGAGTGTGAGCTCTGTGTGTGTGTCAGGGGTTCCTGTCTATCTCCTCACTGTCAGTGGGGTGAAACATTCATAAATGTTTTCTCTTCCCTTCAGATACCACCTCCTCAAACTCCTTCAGAAGTTTGGCAAAGTAAAGCAATTTGACTTTCTCTTCCACAAGTCTGGTGCACTGGAAGGGCAGCCCAGGGGTTACTGTTTTGTCAACTTTGAAACCAAACAGGTGAGTTGCTTTTTATCTAAAATTCTGATGTAAATGACTGACTTCTCTCCCTTTTTTTTTTTTTTTAATGCTAGTTCAAAACTACAACAGGAAAGGTTAAATGCGGTACTTTGTCTACACAAACCCACAGATTCTAACAGCTCTGCTTTGTCACAGCCGCTTTGTGACTGCTCCTGGAAGTAGCAACAGTGATTTTCTTTCTCCTTTGCTGTCTTCTCCTGAATCCTGCTTTTTAGTGCTAACCACAAAGGGCCAGTTCTTTGGTATTTTGCAGCTGGTGATAAGGAAGTCAGAAGAGCCCCAACACTGTGCATCTAGGTAATGATTCACAGCAAGGTGGAGCAGCAGGGCAGATAAAGTCTGGCTGCTGGGAGTCTCAAAGGTGTCCCTGGATTGGGATACAGTGGGATAATTTCTGTGCTGTCAGCGAGCTGTACTTACAGTAGGCTAAATAACAAAGAGAAAAGGGCTCTTTCCATGTGAGTGGGTTTTGACTAAAGGCTTGGTTTGTTTATGGAGCTGTCTTCCTGTGCAGGAAGCAGAGAAGGCGATCCAGTGTCTCAATGGGAAGCTGGCCCTTTCCAAGAAACTGGTGGTGCGGTGGGCACACGCACAAGTCAAGGTAAGCTGGCTGCTGGGAGAGGAGTTGCTTTCAGTTTGCAAAACTTAAAAGCTTTACTAATAAAGCCTTCTTATCAAGGCAGTCTTGGCCTGGCACAAGAATTCTAGTCTGTTCTAGGAAATAACTCAGTTGATGTTTACAATCTGCAGCTTCTCCTGGGCTGGATTAGCTGTGAGTGAGGACAGGCCCTTTAACCTGGGGGTCTTTGGGAGGGGGTTTCTGCTCACAGCACTGTGAACACATTACTTCTCTAAATGCCCATGTTTTAACTTTTCCCAAACGTAGTGAGTAATTGGCTGGAAGTTTGAATCCTTCCCTTTGTGGTTTTTTTGCATAGGAGAGGTATGGAAATTCCCAATTACCGGTTACTGTGTTACTTGGTTCCACTTCTGAAAGCACTTATGTGGCAGCAGCTCTAATTAGTTTTGACTTTAAAGTAACATACTCTGCATCTAAGCTAAATATCCTTTTATTCCTTGTCACATAAACAATCAAGTTTTTAAGATTGACTTAGGCAGTTCCTTCTGGAACATCCTTATTTTCATTTTTTAAAATTCTTTTCTTGTTTCTCCTACAGTTATTGTATTTGATAAAGCAATTTATTTTGAATAACTTTCTTTGTAGATAAACAGATTTTGGGGGAAGCAGAGAGGAGATGCCTGTTGCTATTTTCCTTTGGATAGTTTTCTTTTAGTTGATTATCCTGCCAGCAGCTTTCTGCTTTATCAAGTATATTAGTGCATCTGTTTCGGATGCTTAAAAATCCAAACCAGGTATCTTCATTAAAGGAGACCACATTGTTTTAGTTACTGACTTCAAGGGCCCTTGTCAGCACATCCAAGCTCGTGCAAAACCAGTCTCCATTTTCTGTGGCTGTGGAGCTGCTGGGGTGCCACGTGCTTCCGGATGCCTGAGGAATGATCAGGCCAGGGAGTCTGAGCTGGAGGAATGAGTGTCTGCCCAGCTGCTCCTGGGTCTGGGGAGGAACATGCATAAATAATCACCCCCTTCACATGCCATTTTCCAATCCCTGAATGGAAAGACTTAACAGCACAAAACTTTGGCTCATTGTAGCAAGAGTTGTTTTAGACAAGAGCAGCACGGTGCTGAGCAGCTCTGAGATGAGTGGCCAAGGCTCACCAGACGCTGTCGGTTTGAGCAGCTCTGCTGAAAAACAAACCTGACTCTGTGCCAAGCGAAATAAGGAAGCAGAACACTGCAAATAGTTCAGGAGGCCCGTTGCCCACAGAGATGACAGACTCACAAGCTGCCTTCTGCAGAAGGGAGGGGGTTCCTAACTGATTTTTTTTCCTTTTTTTCCCATCTTTTCTCCCAGGACTGCCCAGTTCTGTGCAGTCCTGTGCTTGGGTTACCTTCTGGCTCTGCACAGAAAGAGCACAGCAAACAGTGCAGTAGTTACCTTCAAGTTTACCATCTGTGCTTCCTGCCTTATGTAGAGGGGAACAAGAAGTGACAGGATAAGGTTTAAGGATCCACAGTGCAATGCACATAACTGTTCAGTATCCAGCCTGCATTCCACGTTGGTACTAAGCAAATATTGTGGTTGGGATTTCTTTCAGTGTTTGGCCACCAAAATCTTCCCTAGCAAAAGCTCCACAAAACCTGAGGCGATGTTAATCCAGCTTTAAAGTCCATCTGTAGGAAATGTTTCTTTGCTCCTAATTGCAGCTGACTCAGTCCTTGGTCTCTTGCTTGCAGAGATATGATCACAATAAAAATGAGAAGATCCTTCCAATCAGTCTGGAGCCATCTTCCAGCACGGAGCCACCCCAGTCCAACCTAAGGTAGGAGATGGGTTGGGTGAGAGGTGACCCTGCTGTGGGACTGGCAGGGAACCAACTTCTTCCATGTCAGTAAGATTTGGAGTTGTTGAGATTGTTTGTGTTAAAAATGTAGCACAGCAAAAAAAGCTGTTTTTGAAAGGGCAATGCCTGTGAAGTCTCTCACTTGATGTGGGACGCTTCAGACTGGAAGTTTATTTTCTAACTGCAAAGCCAGTGGGTGGTAGGAGGGGTATGAGGTGAGATGGGGAGTTGGGAATGGGTAGCACTCCAGCTCCTTTGGCCAGAATCTCTGCACTTCATGTGAACTGGGTTTTTATTGGACTTACTTGGTTCAGCAAAATGCTTAATGAGCAACAAGTTCCACAATAGTGGCAGAAGTTAAAACAAAGTCACAGGTAGTACTTCACATAAAACTAATTTTTCTTTTCTTTTTGCCAGTGGTTTTTTGTCTGTAGGTCTTGTCCGTGGAATGTGGTTAAATTCTCCAACCACTGCATTTACCTAAAGCACATAGCTGCTTTGCTAATTCACAGCTTGTTTGTGTGGTTTTCCTCTGTGTTCTGTCAGTGGAACCCTGTGAGGAACCAGGACCAGATTAATGCACTTGCCCAGAGATAAAATGAGCTTGTAATTCAGAAGTAACAGGCTAGGAAGGAAAGAGCAGAGGGGTTTGGGTCATGCAGATTGTTAACTGCATCATGGCACAAAGGGGTTGTTCTAGTGAGGATGGATGGTGCAAGAAGCCACAGTGGGGCAGGGAACATTCCTCCCCGTCCATACCCAGTGGAGGATGGTGAATAACAAAAGTCCTAGGAGTTTGGGGTGTAACCTAGGGTAGCTTCTCCCTTTGGGATAAACCCTGCTAATGCTGAAATAATGTTTCTTCCTGACCTAATTAGAGTCTGGGGTTTTCCCATCCCGAGCGGGCTGTAGCTGGGAGGAAGTCTGGCTTTCATTTCTCTGCTGTTCCCAGCAGCCTGCTCCCAGCTCTGCTCTGCTGCACATGCTCAGAGCTCCTGAAATGACATCACTTCACATGAAGTAGGAAGCCTTGCCGTGTTCTTGTCTCACTCAGCGTCCTCAAGGAAGCACCAAATAGGTGCAGGGGTTGTTATTTTGGGGTCTCTTGGAGGAGCAGTCCCGTGCAGAAGCTGAAATGCAGCAGTGGGGGCTGCCTGGCCCCTCCTTGTGCAGGGAGGATTCTCATGTCAGCAGAATCTCTGGATTTCTGTACTTTGGTTTCATGCTAAGATCAAGCTCAGTGTCCCTTCTGCTCTTTCTCTTTCCAGTGTCAGTGCAAAAATAAAGGCCATTGAAGCCAAGCTGAAAATGATGGCAGAAAATCCAGACGCAGAATATCCTGCAGCACCTGTTTATTCTTACTTCAAGCCACCAGATAAGAAAAGGACTACTCCTTACTCCAGAGCTGCCTGGAAATCCAGAAGATGATGCTTATGAGTGGATGATGGTAGCAAGAAACACTGCTTTGTATACCTGGAGTCCTCCAATGCTTTTGTACTTTTGTAGAGTGGGAAGGACAATGCCACCTGAGCAGGGCACAGCCAGCACAGCCCTCTGTCACACCTGAGGGTCTGCACCTTCCTGCCTGTGCAGCTCACAGCTGAAGGCTGTTCAGAGAAATAGGTTCCCTTCAAAGCCTCTGATGAACACACAGGCAACCTCTCGTTAGTGTGCATTCATTAGCCAGATTAGAAACAGTAACCAGCGTTCGGAGTAAAGCACATCCAAAAATACTCCATTTAACTGATTACTTTTTAAAGTATTTTTGAACAAAATGTATTCCAATTCATGTTTTAATGGAAGGGGAAGCACTTGGTTTTGATTAACATGCTGTAGTTATAATGGAAATACTTTTTCATCTCAATAAAATTCATTTTAAATAGATCTTGCAACACCTTTAGTAACTGTGCATGCAATATTTTATATGCACCAAGGCCAATTGATTTTGCATTTTGATTTGCACACTCCACAATGTTACTTTATGACATGGTAATGACACAGCCCAGGTATTTTCAGTGTCATTTAGGCTGTAGGTGTGTGCCTGCCTGTAGGAATTAGTGTATTTACACACCACTGAGGTCTGTGCTGTGCCCTGAGCTTTGGCATTTGTGTTCAGTGATCCCTGATGGTGGCAGCTCCTCATGAGCCAGGTGTGGTGTTTGCCCCCTGTCCTGCCCAGCTTTGGTTTCCATGGGCTGGTAGAGATGGTCAGCTGCCTCTGGTGTGAGGTGGCACCAGGGTTTGTGGTGAACTGGGACTGCCCCAGGGACCAAATCCACAGATCTGATGGGAGACAATGCTCTGAACCATCTGATCTGCAGCACATTTTCCCCCTACATATCTGCAAAATAGAAATCTGAGAAAAAAAAAATTTCTGGCAGCATTTTCTCCTTTGTGCACACAGTGCTGTGACTGCATGTGCCAGGAGGATGTCAGAGAGCTCACGTGCTCAGGTCCAGGTGACACTGGTCTGGTTTTCCCCTCCTGTCAGACCTCATAGTTCACTTGAGCTGCTCCCCCCGAGCTGGTTAATGGTGGTCTCAAACAGGAGGAGGAAAACAATTTGGGAAGAGCCCCGGTTTGTGCAGGCAGGAGTTGCTCAGTGGCACAGCCCAGGGAGGTTTGTGCTCCTGCAGCAGCAGCACACCTCCCTCCAGGCAGAGCTGGCTTCCTGCTGCCAACCCAGCACCTGGAGCGGAGCCGTGCCTGGCTGTGCCGGAGGACTGTTGAAAGCCTCAATTGTTCTGAAGTAGGTCTCGTGCTGTTAATGTTTGTTTCCTAGTTTTTTGGGTACCTGAGTAGAGGGAAAAGTAGTATTCTTGGGAGTTTGTACCCCTCTGAATGTGAGTGACACCCGTTTGCATTCCTCTGTGAGCAGCCTGTGTTTGTTCCTGCGTGCTCTAACGTTTGTAGCTTTCCGGGTCTGTATCTGCATTGTTTAGAACAGCTCTGAATTCTGTTCCCATTGGGAAGATACCTGAAGATACCTGACTTCAGCTGGGTGTGCGGCTGTGCTCCCCTCAGAAACATCCTTTGATATTTATTTGTATCTAAATACAATTTGTTGAAATTCTTACAGCTTTCAATAAACATTTAAAATGCATGTTTTCCTCCAGGAAAGCCGAGGGTGGCAAGCAGGAAGTGAGTGAGGGTGGTAAATGCTTGGCATCAGCCGAAGTCCACTGACAGAACCCGGGTACAATAGCATCAGTCTTTTTTTTTTTAATTATTTCTTTGCCCTGCCGTGGTCGCTAACAGAAGCGCCTTGTGTGTCCAGGCAGGCTCAGACCTGGGGGAGCTTTATTGCAGGTTGGTGCTTGTGCTGGTCACTGCTGCTGCCGCCGGCCTGGCAGGCGCTGCTGCTGCTGCTGCTGCCTGTGCCCCGGGGCCCCGACAGCACAGCAAGCCAGAGTTCCTCACCCTGGAGCTGGGAGGAGGGAAATGCTCAGAAATGGGTTCTTTTTCATGAGCATCAACCCTGGGATTTTGCATGAGACCGTCGTAAAGGAGATTTGAAGAGCGGCATCGCTGCGGCCGGCACTGGAGCCGTGAGTAGGGAGGGTGGGAAGGAGAGCTGGGCTGGTGCCTGGCTCCTGTGAAGGGGAATTGGGCTGTTTCTCACCTCCAGCCTACACTCCTGTCCTCTGAGGGGGTTCCTTGCTTCCCCTGTATTTCCAGCAAACCCATGGGAGCAAGGTGGGTTTCTGAGGGCAGCGTTCACCATGGCCACAGTGTGGGTTTTTCCTTGGTATTTGAACCATTCTGCCTGTGGTGACAGTCCCTCACTTGGGACAGGCGTGGAATCTTCACTCTGGGAGCACAGACCATTCCCAACCCCAAATTCTGGGATTCTGGCCGAGCTGCTGCTTGACAGGCTGCCACCTTGTTGCTGCCTTGTACAAACTCCAGGGCTGGAGGAGGGAGCACACGGGGTAAGGACAGGGATGGACTCAGAGCTGATACCTGTTAGCTCCAGGGCTTTGAATTCCCCCGTCACTGCCCAGGCCCCGTTCCTGGTGCAAGATACACATGTGAGATCTGTCTGCTCTCAGCAGTGAGAGCGGAACACCGACCCTGCAGAGCCAAGACTTGCTCCAGGGCTGGAGAGGAGCAGAAGCTGGGCTGGAGTCACCCCATTCCTGAGCCTGCTCTGGCTCTGCAGCATCTGGAGACCTGGGTCTGTAATCACGAGAGCAGTGCAAGCATCTGCTTGGCTGCGTGGAGCTGGCCCGTGGTGCTGAGCCGTGGCTGCCAAGCCCAGCATCCTCTGGGGATGCCAATAAACCCCACACGGCCCTGCCTCGACCGCTGCTGCGTAGGGGGACAGACAGCCTTCGTGGCTGCGCCCGGGAAAACTCCTACGTGTTTCTGCTGGAGCAGCCAGAGGCGATTCAGACCCCTCCAGTGAGAACGAAGGGTTGAAATTGTCCTTTCTCAGCGTCTCGCCTCTGCACTTGTCCGTGTCCCCCGCACTCGGCCTCTGCCGAGCTGGGGACAGGGGAGGACAAGCTGGCAGGCCTTGGGTTCCGTTTCCTGGGGGTTTCTCGGGCTTTCCTGCAACCTCGATGTTTAAACCTAATGCCTTGTATTTATTCTAAAATGGCTTTCATCTGATTTCCCTCTCGGTTAACAATTTAGCTGTCACAATCAATAACGGCGAGGATCCATCCCCGGCCGCCATCAGCTCACGTTACCGTCCTGCAATTACCCGGCGGTGGCACCGCTGCCGGGGCTTTGCTGGGGAATTATCAGGTTACTAATGAAGCCCGGGCAGCGGCGGGCGGCCAGACGCCGCGGCGGTGGGCGCGATCCCCGCTGCCGCGATCAGAGGGGGGCCCGCACCGTGCGCCCCGTCGGGGCGGGCAGCGGCGGGGGAGGACCGGGACGAGCCGGACCGGGCTGCCCCCTCCTCGCCTC